AATCCTCCTCATGTGACAGAACAGTCATCAATTTGGATTCAAAGATACAATTTGCTAAAAAAAAAACAAAGTCCTCTCAGAGAATGAAAACAAGTGCAGCCTTCAAATTAAGAGGGCTCTGAGGAACAGCCACCAGGGCCTGTGTTCAGGGCCAGTTACATACTGAACTCATGATGTGGAAAACAGTACTCTACTGAGCACTGATGGGGACTGTTTTCATGGCACGGATGATAAGAGGAAGAGAGAGAGAGATTACAACACTTCTACAGAATATTTTTGTTTGTTTGATTCCACTAATACAGTTTTTGAAAGAAAAACTAAGCTATTTGTGTTCAACAAGACCACTATTGTATTCATTATTATTTGGTCCGGCATGATTGTTAGAACTCTAATTACTACAGCACAACAAAGGACGCCAGAATGGATATCTGAACTTTATACAGGATGGCTGTTATTAAAAGTGCAATGAGCTTTAGATAAACTTTTATAATAATGTGACGATTTGGTTTTTGGTGCTGTTGTCCTTTAGCTATTACTTAAAAAAAAAAAAAGCTATAGGGCATTTCCACTACAAACACACTGAAAGCTAAAGCTATTTATGCTCCCTACAGTACTGAGGCATCTCCCTGGACAATCTCAGCCAGTGCATCAAGTTGTATTGCACTGTGTTGACAATTTTGGAGACACTTGTTGTCAAAATGTATATAGTGTTATTAAACGTGTTTAAATCTCCTATGAGAATTGTCTAAAAATACACACGCCTGGAGTCCTGAATAATGCAATAATTAACTCCCTGTAAACTAGAAGTAATATTAATTGTTCCACTTATTGTGTGCAATGTATATTATATATAATATATTATGTATATATAAATATATTATATACAATATACACAAAAGTAGAAATAGTGTAGAAAAAACAGAACATATCAGCAATATGCTTATGCTCACCAAGGCTGCATTTACTTGATCAAAATACAGTACAAACAAAGTAATTGTAAAAAAAAAAAAATTAGAATTTATAATAACGGTTTAATGTTTTAAATATATTCTAAAACATAATTTCCTCATCTCAATGACAAACATGTGTCATCATGACCTCATGTCTCAAGTGTTAGATTCATGCAGACATTATACAGCCACCCACAACGATCTGACACTGGTCAAGGAGGTCTGTTCACTGGTCTGAACACCTCTGCAAAGTCAGGCTCTGTTTCTTGCTGTCATGTCCTGAGTCTGCTCAGGTGCTTCAGCAAACAGATGGTTAGATTATGCATGACTCCCTATAGTGCAGTGCTGTCTCAGGGGGCTATATTGTCTTGAAGGTCATTAGTCAAATATTCTTCCAGAAAGATCTGATAGCAATAATTACAGTAAATGCTGAGTAAAAATGCCAAGGTCACAATCAGAATGATTGCTGTGTTGTGCAGGTAATATTTTCCAAAATATGATTTGCTATGATGATAATAACATTTTAAGATCTTGTCCTCAGCTGTGTTGACTTCCTCTGTGGTTTAGTGCTCTTAAAAACAAAAATGTAGAGCTGAGTGCCACCAACTGGCTGAAAAATGATACTGACTACTGCAGTAAGATTTTTCATGAATCTTTGAAGTTTCTCTTTAGGTCTAAGAACATTAGGGCAAAATACACTTCTGGAGGAAACTTTCTTTACCTCCAGAATAATTCTTCTGAATTATGTATCTTTGACAAACATGCAGGCCTATGAAACCCTAATGTACAAAGATGTTAGGTTTGCACGTAATTATATTTATACATTTTATATTCATTTTTATTTTAATTATTAAATATTTTTAACAATAATAATAGCAATTAATAATTTTTGTTAATTTATTTTTTATTGTAATATTTATTTTATTTTAAAATGTTATGTTCTTTTTAAAAAAAATAATTCTGTAGAAAATATTTTCTTACAAAAAGAAACTGGAAAATATACAGCTATAACGTAACTACACAATGCTATTATTTTTTATATTTGTTAGTACTAACACTTATATTTTTAAATGTTAAGTTTTTCTTTAAAAAAAAAAGCCAAATGAGCAAAAAACATTGTAGATGTCAGGGATATGAACCTGTTTTGTTGTGTTTTCTCCCATGTGCACCCCGTGACCCAGTTTCTCTCTCTTGTTAATTAGTCAATTGGTTCAGGTGTGTCTTGTCAATTACCCTCGTTTAGTCCTGTATTTAAAGTGTTGTTTGCCCTATGTTTCCTTGTCCGGTATTGTTTGTGTCATGATGGTGCTACGTGTGTCTCCTGCATACCCTGTGTTACCTCTGTTTGGATTATTAAAGACTGTTATTCGTGAATCTCCTACGTCTCCGCACTCCTCGCTCCTACACAGTAGACACCATGACAGTAGAAGTGTGTGTGTGTGTGTGAATATATATATATTTGATTTGTATGTAATTACATTTATATTTAAATGTTAATTTCTTTTAAAAATGACAGATTTACAAAATAATAATAAAAAAAAGATTAAAACAATATAAGTAGCTATACTGAATGTATGATGAATGATTGATATGTTGTCAGGGTCTCAGGTGGTTTAGTTTGTTCCTAGATTAATTGGATGGACAGAGTCCCAAGTTGTCAATAAAAGGACAATTTAACTGATGCAGTCCCTCCTCCAAGTCAATATCACCCAGATGGCTTCCCAAATACTCAAATCATGGCCTTGGCTACATTTTAGAAAGAGAAATCTACACAAGCACTCTCTCAGTAAGAAATGTAAACACAAGTGAAAAAATTGTAATAGGCATCTTTATGATAGGCTTATTGCTACTGACTTGTATGGGACTTCCTTGTATTGCTATGGCAACAGACAATGACTGCCTTTCAGTGTCAAATATTGTAATAGCATATCATCCACAAAGGGCAAAGTCACAGCGAGTACAAAGACAAGACATTTCGACTTGATGTACAAATAAAAAATGGTGCTCACAATAACTTTAAGCTTGCTGCTCCAGAATATTATCACGGACTAACAAATCAGATTGATTGTATTTATGCAACTGTAGAACAGAGATCACACCAGAGGTCAACTCTTATTGGACACAAGACCAGCTCTAATCTTCTCTCATTGATCAGCTGTTCTCTCAAAGTCGTCAGCTGAATTCTGTGACTACAGGTTGCTTCAATTATGGATTTCATTTGTGGTTTTTAGTGAAAATGTGTTACAGGAAACAAGAAATTCAGAAGGGTTTTATTTCATATCTATCTATTTATCTGTCTGTCTGTCTATCTATCTATCTATATTAATTGGAGGAAAACATTTGCAGTCAGACAAGTTAAAAGAAACATGCATGACTAAGAAGGCAGAGCAAACATAGTTTGTTTCATTTTCACTGTGTTTTGACCCTTGATCCTTTTCCGTGATTTTTCTTAAAGGAACACACCACTTAAAAAAAAAATAGGCTCAATTTACAACTCCCCTAGAGTTAAACAGTTGAGTTTGACCGTTTTCGAATCCATTCAGCCGATCTCCGGGTGTGGCGGTAGCACTTTTAGCTGTAGCTTAGCATAGATCATTGAATCTGATTAGACCGTTAGCATCTCGCTCAAAAATTACCAAAGAGTTTCGATATTTTTCTGAAAATTGGCTAACTTCCGTCAACATAACCAACGTGACCACCTGCTTGCACAGGGAGAGTGCTGGGGACTATTTTCAGGAGCTGCATAATATCATTGCGCCTGCTGCACCCATGGTACGGCAGCAAAGTTCCTTGATTACTACGCTGGAATGAGAGTATAGTTCCTAGCCATATTGGCCTAGAAAATCGAAATTTATTTTTAATTTTCCATTGGTCTTAGTACATGATGTAACTACAGAAGAGTCAAGTTTTAAATGGGAAAAATATCTAAACTCTTTGGTAATTTAATTTTTGAGCGAGATGCTAATGGTCTAACCAGATTCAATGATCTATGCCAGGGGTGGCGAACTCCGGTCCTGGAAAGCCGCAGCCCTGCAGAGTTCAGCTCCAACCCTAATTAAAACTCACCTGCCTGTAGCTTCCTAGTAACCGTTCAGACCTTGATTAGCTTGTTCATGTGTGTTTGATTAGGGTTGAAGCAAAACTCTGCAGGGCTGCGGCTCTCCAGGACCGACGTTCGCCACCCCTGATCTATGCTAAGCTACAGCTAAAAGTGCTACCGCCAGACCTGGAGATCGGCTGAATGGATTCGAAAAACGGTAAAACTCAACTGTTTAACTCTTACTTTTTCAAAAAAAAGTGGAGTGTTCCTTTAAACATGCTGTCTGCACAGATTTGTTTACCATCTAATAATTTACTTTTGCTCCCTCTAGTGGTTAAATAGATTCTTACAATTTTAGGCTTATGATATTTTTTTTTGCACGCTTCCATGAAACAGTGCATTATTATTAATTTCAATGCTACTGATACGCAAGGTAGAAGTAGTGAGCATGCATTTCTTCAAAAGCCTTACTAAGGGCATTAGTAGTGTCCTATTAAAAGGCCTTTAAATTCTCAGTTAAAGTTTACTGTAGGGAAATATAAATGTGTTTTAATATGTGAAATTTGCAAGGATCTGTGTTGTGTGACTATGATTCAAATGAAAAACCATGCGCCATTATTCCTTGTTTGTTTGTTTTTATAACTTAGCGCCATGCCAGCTTCATGGCAAGAGACAACAGATAAAGTTAAGCAAACAAATATTATACACAGGCTATATAGTATACAATGGCTATCTACAGAAATAATTGTATTGTTGTTTAACAGTATTAATTTTTTTTATTATTTATATGATTATAAATTATTTATTTATTTGACTCATGTTTGGAAACAAACAAACAAAACAAAAAACAGTTATGACATTTGGCATGAATCCGCAAGCACTTTCCTAAATGCCCACAGGTGTGCCCTGTCTTTTCACACAAATGATGTTACTTCATCAATATTCAGTTAATTTTCTTTCTATCACATACACTTTTGGACCAGATAATAGCACATTTTGCTTATGGGAGCGCTTTATTGTGAGTCAAATTACATCTAAATCACAGGTGGGTCACGTTTCAGAGTTAACATACTAGTGTTAAAAGCCACTTGTTGGATTAAAACAGGAGAGAGAAAAATAAATAAATAATCCTAATTACTTTCAGTAAACCTGCTTGTCACAACATCAATTAACACACAAATCTGGCCTGAAATGAAGGGAGGGGCTGTTGCTTGGAAATAGATAGTGTTACTAGATCTATGAGCGTTACAAAACAGATTGCGAGTATAGAGTGAGCTATGGGCACTGGTTTACGCACAACAGGCCACAATGACACGTGAAATGCTGTCTAACCTGTCTAAACTGCGGATGGATTCGATGAGAGAGTGATGTTCCCTTTAAAGCAGCTCTCAATGACTTGTCTTGGTGCGTTGTCGCCATCTTCCGCCAGTTCTGTTACCGACCTCACCGGAGCATCACATCAGACCGCCGGTGGGCGAGTCCCGGGTGTGTCTGTCTGTCTGTCTGCCTGCGAAAGAGCGGCGAGCGTGCGTGCGTTCAGGAGAGCACGCTAACCACACCGAGTGAGGAAGGAAATAAAATGCTGGGGAATTGAAAGCCGTCACATCTTCATCATTAAACACTTGTTGTTGTTGTTTTTTTTGCTTCTGGAGGACTGAAGCATGAAGAAACATCACAGCCCCGCGAAGGGACCGCTGGAAGTCACCGTGCCAGACACCGAGGCGACCATACAACAACTCAACAAGCTGCTGTCCAACGGCAGCGGTTTCTACAGCCTTCCAGCACAACATTTCAACGAGGTCTTTCCCAAGATTTACATCGGCAATGCGTAAGTTCAGCAATCTTATGGAGACTTCTGGGCTATTGATTGCAGAAAAACACTGACAGGTAGCTGCTTTCAGCTGCTGGACAAATGTGTTGATTCGTGAGGTGGCACAGGCAATTGATCTGTATAGCGGATCGGTAAATAAACCCTCTCAGTAAATATTACCTGAATATTTTACAGCGTCCAGGTGTAAAACAACAAACCTGTGAATGGAGCACGTCAGCTCTACGCCTACGAGAACAATCACGAAGCCACAGGAGATTTTGCTAACGTTTAAATAGTGAGTCAGTTTGAGTCAGACTGCAAGGGAAGCTGTTTTTCTCCACGACCGTCCTCTATCGGTACCATCTAGCTATCTCTCTTGAGATCACTGTTACAAAATCACTTCAGTTCGACCTCAGTCACCTGTTTCTTTGTATTAAACCGTTACTATTACACATTCATTGCATATTTCCTCTATCTTATTAAGAGAAAAAGACCTCAAGGGGGTTTAACGAGTCATTGGCTTTCTCGATGCGCTGATTAAAATTCGTGCCGATTCAGCTGCATCGATAGACTTTTGAATTATGTGCTAAAGAAAATATGCATCTGTAGAATTGGGACTTTTGACTCAGAATCCATTGTTTACAACTTGTGTGACAAGTCCGCTGTCTTCACTATTTGCATGTGGTTTTGAGCTAAAAGTCTATAAAGGTAGTCAGATTACGTTACTTTTTTCATGTTTTAAAATTTGCATTAGGTTCATGATTACATAGTGATTTGTTCCTGGAATAAATTTTTTAGGATATCAGGCACAGATACATTGCTTTTACATATAAATTGTTTTTGATGCAGTAAACAGTCTAAAGCACAATCTTGTTTTGTTCCTTGTCTAATACATTATGGAAAGTATTTTAAAGCGATAATTCACCCCAAAAAATGAAAATTACCCAATGATTTACTCACCCTCAAGGCATCCTAGGTGTACATGACTTTCTTCTTTCAGATGAACACAGTCGGCGTTATATTAAAAAATGTCCTGGCTCTTCCAAGCAGTGAATGGTGGTCGAGATTTTGAAGCCCAAAAAAGTGCATCCATCCATCATAAAAAGTGCTACACATGACTCTGATGCGTTTGTATAAGAAAAATATCCATATTTGCAACTTTATAAACTAATCTCTAGCTTTCACTAACTGTCATATGTGCATACACAAGAGAGTGGTGTCCAGTGGATGACGTAGGATGCATAGTGTAAACTCCGGTGAGAATATTGGTGAGAAGTTTATTTTTGCTCTCACCTCTGCGTTTCCGCATTCGTCACCGCGTTTGCCTACGTCCTACGTCTTCCGCTGGACACCACTCTTTCATGTACACGAGTACGACAGTTAGTGGAAGCTATAGGATTACAGAGATGAGAGATTACAGTTTATAAAGTTGTAAGTATGGATATTTTTCTTATACAAACGCACCGCTTCGCTTCGTTTCAGGAGACCTTTATTAAAGGGTCCTATTATGCTTTTTCACTTTTTCAACTTTAGTTAGTCTGTAATGTTGCTGTTTGAGCATAAAAATATCTGCAAAGTTACAAAGCTCAAAGTCCACTTCAAAAGGAGATATTTTATTTAACAGAAATCACTTCTCAAAAACTACGATTATCTTGTGGTGTGTACCCAGCATTAGTCTGTGCAGCAGGAATTTACATATGGTCATTTGTAGATATTGACAAAACATTTTCACTGAGCTGCTAATGGCTGTATCTGCCCTGTAGCTTCTAGATTTATTTATATACAATTCTGATATGATAGATAGATAGATAGATAAAAAAACACTTATACAAGTACACCTTGCACAACATATTCTGCTGTTTTTTATACAGTATGCACAAAAGAGTACTCATTGCACATGTATTATATTGCACATTGTATTGTATTGATTTACAAAGTATTATATTAGGACTGATATTGCAAAAGAGTAATGTTTGAAATGCGATGATCCCATCCATAATTACCCATCTAGATCGAATGTCCACATTGTGTTCAGCACGCATTGCACTGTTTTGTTTGTTCACATTCTTGCCAATCCTACAGAGCACATTAAACTGAGTGCAGATATAAGAGTGTGCCAAACCTTTGGCATTCCGTTTGTATTATGACTTTAGGATATGATCTAAACGAAACTGTCTTTAGAAATACAAAGTCATTATGATTATACACAATAGACAAAATTCTAGAAACCTGCTAGTACTCGATTTGGACCTTTTACCGTATGTAAAGGTGCAGTATGGGGCAATGGGCCACTTTCTTCATAGCACACCTCTCTTTGTAAGACTTACATTAATAATGCATGTGAAGGGACTGCAGTGAACAGAGTGCTGGACAGGTGAACAAGATGCAAAGCAAACACTTTCTCTCTCTGTCTTGCACACTCTCTCTCATGCACATGCATACACACATACATACACAAAGGGAGAAATATGACCACAATCTGCAAAGGCTCCATATAGACAGGATCTCACTGGGGGAGAGTTTGAATTATGGGTGTTGGGCGGCGCATCAGAGTCCATCACTTCATCACCACTGAAGAGCCTGCACTGCTGGCAGAAACAGAGACTGAGGGGCTGCTACATCCTCCAGTTATAAACCAAAAGGGCTGGAAACTTGATCTTTATTTAGAGTGTTCTTTTGAAACTGTATTTTAATTGGATTAGGTTATATATATTATCTGTTACCCATATACTGTATGCAGTCTTTCATCTACTGCATTCTCGCTGAGGATTGGTCTAGAGAGACGTAACGAGGCTGGATTTTTTTTAGGAGACAAAGATGAAAGAGTTCCAGGTGCTCAAGCAAAATAGAGACAATGCAACTACATGACAGAGCATTCTGCTCATCTCTCTTCTCATTCATTGTTTTCTCTCTGTGGACTCAGAGTCCTATTTTGGGCACTACACTGGACGCCTATGGCTCTTTGTATGCCTCTGGGCAGCAGCCAAGATCTCCTTGGTGTGTCTGTTCTGGTTTAGAACACTGCTGTCCCCAGGGACCCTCTGACATAGGCCGACATCTCTGCCAACTAAAAGCGGCTCCACAATTCACTCCAATCAATCTCATACTAGACACAGCTGAACGATCCATAGCTGAAGCTTCTGGGTGGGGTTGGCAGGGTCTTGGATTTACTGGAACTACAAACTGTGAGCAGACAGATTGCCATTGTTTGTCACAAATGCATAAAACGTACGCAACATAAGGAGTTATGTAACTGTTTATCAAGAATGAATGATTACAAGGTATTCAGCAGTGAGAGAAAAGAACACAAGAAAGGTAAATACATTTTTTTTATATACCGTAAGAAATGTATTAAGGAATGATGCAGACTCAATCTGATGGGAAAAGTATTTCTTATGAAATTATGTGAATTGTAAAAAAAAAAGAAATGAATTGCAATAAGATTGTGTTTAGTGGTCGACCGATATATCGCTAAGGCTAATATATCGGCCGATATTTGACATTTTTCAAAGTTTTCAAGTTTTTCTGTTTGGCCGATGCGTTCGAGGCGAGGCGTTTTATTTTGACGGCACGCCGTACTTTTATTTTGACGGCGCTGAGAACAGCAGCGCCTGAGCACACAGTTTTCATATTATCCCTCTTGTTCGCTGTCGTGCTTAACAGTTCTGTCTAATATGGATAGAAGTCTGTCTAATAATCTGATAGAACTGTTAAACAAAGGAATTAAAATGTATACAATGTATTATAACTATTGCTTTTATATTATTAGTAATAGAAAGGCAAACATTATAATACTTTCTCGTTTGCCGTCAGCATTCAGCAAACACGCATTTACATCATTTAAACAAATCTTTGAATGTCTAATGAAAATGTAATTTCACAAACCTTGCAAACTTATGCCGAGTTCGCACTGCACGGTTTTCAAACTCGTCGGATCGCCGTTGTTTTTACACTGCGTGACTATCTGGGCCAGCATTCAGTTGCTGCTGTGTTCACATTGCACGATGGATCGGCGACAGGGGGATTCACATTGCATGACTTCACAATAGGAAGAATCGTCGACAGCTCTGTCTGGTGCAGGGTTGCCAGGTTTTCGTTACAAAACCTGCCCAATTACTACTCAAAACTAGCCTGAAATTAGCCCAATTGCTTTCGAGGGGTCCCCCAGTAAAAATCGTGTAATATGTTATTGGGGTCGCTTCAACCTGCTGAAATAAAAACAACCGGCGGCAATCGCAGATTTGGCAACACTGGTCCGCAAACTACATTTCATATAACTTCTCCCCGAACTTCCCGCTGCCCTGTATCTTGGTCTCTCATTGGCTGTAGGTCATCGCCGATGTGTTTTTCAGTCAGAACTCATTTCACACAGCGTGATTGTGACGTGTCGGCGATTCCCTCAGATTGCGTCTTTGATAATTCACACTTCGTGATTGTCACTCGTGTGAATGAGCACCGATTTGCCTCCGATTTCGTGCATTTGTTGGCGATTTCGCAAAACCTGTCGGCGAGTGAAAAATAGTGCTAAAATTGTGCAGTGTGAACTCGGCATAAGTGTGAACAGGATTTTATTGAAAATTAAAACGACTTCAGGTTGATTTGTTAGATCGCGGCCAGCAAACACCCCTTAAGACAATGTTGTAGTTGAGACCAGCTTATTTGAGACCAAAAAAGGGTCGAGTTCAAGTCAAAACCGTGTCCACATGTTCCATGACTAGACCAAGATCATAAAAATATTGAGTTAGATATTTTCATGGTCTTGGTTTTATTGACTTAGACTCAACACTCTTCTAGTCTTGGTCTTGATTCAAATGAGCTGGTCTTGCCTACAACACTGCCCTGAAGGGACAGTTCACCCATAAATGAAAATGTTGTCGTCATTTACTCGCCTTTAAATTGTTCCAATTCTGTATTTCTTTCTTCTGTTAAACACGTAAGATATTTTGAAAAATGTTGGTAATCAAACAGTTGACGGTAGCTAAATGGTTTGGAGCAAGTGGAGGGTGAGTAAATGATGACAGAATTTTCATTTTTGGGTGAACTATCCCTTTAAGACATCACAAAATTGGTTTGTTTGGTTCAGGTGAGTCTCACACGTGCTCTGCTCCTGCTCCCCAGGTTTGTGGCCCAGAATGTGATGCGTCTGCAGCGGCTGGGTGTGACACACATACTGAATGTCGCAGAGGGAAACTCTTTTATGCATGTGAACACCAACGCAGAGTTCTACACAGGAACTGGGATCACGTACCATGGCATACAGGCCAATGACACTGAGCAGTTCAACATCAGTGACTTCTTTGAGGAAGCAGCAGACTTCATCGATAAGGCTCTGGCACATGGAAAAGGTCGGCTGCTCATGCTTCTTTTTTTTTTTTTTTTTGTAAATGCTTTTGTTTCTTAACAGATACCCACATTAGACCTACATAAATTAATTGTAAAGAAAACATTTTCCATTCACCGACAAGACTATCGCAAGATTACAGAAATCTTGTTCAGTCCATTTGACACAGATTCTTGATAATTCATGAAGTATGAAGCCAGCAGTGTCTTTGCGGAGTTAGAAAGTATTCTGTGGCATTCAGAACTTGACCGTTCTCTTTTTCCCTTGTGCCAGCTTTCTTTTTTTAATCCCTTTGTTTTAATGCTTAGCTTGCACAAACAACAAGCAAAAGATAGGACAGAAAAAAATTAAAAGAAAAAATGAAGTGGATTTATTGAAATGTTACAGTATATGTATTCACAAATAATAATGTATCCCAAAGAAGATCTGGTAGTCTCTACACACAGTCTCTACACCAGTTGTTTTAATTGGTCCATTTAAACCCATCTTTTATGGCATAGATTTCATGCCATCGCTAACACAGAGGAGCAATTATAAAGCATCTTAATTGCAAGTCATCTTGGCAGTAGGAGCCTAGTAAGCGGTAAATCAGACGCCAAGCCTGGGTTGAGGGAGGACACTAATCTTTTCACTGAGAGCTTAAGCTGAAACAAAACCACTAGAATATATGCTGCCACTTCGTAGCCTGGCAGAGCTCAGCTGTGACATTTGCGACAGCCGTGCTTACAGTGGGCTTGATGTCATCTGGTGAATTTGCTGGCTGAATCACAATGAGCAGTGGGAGGGATGAAGGTCTGAGTGCTCCCGCTGCCTCTGAGTCACACTGAATCTGTTTAAAAAAATATGCTCTGCATAGGGGTGGGTCTCGATGGCTGATTTGTCGTCTAGTTTTAGATTTGTTCTCGTTTTAAGTTTACTGTAGATCTTTGTAGCAACAGTGTTTTAAAGGTGCACTGCGGAGGATTGACGAGAGATTCAATTATATGAGTACATAAAAAAAAAAAATCAGTATTCTTGCTTTACCTATATTCACTATGGTGAACCTAAAAGAATTAATTATTTTGAGCAGTAGGGTCGGATTTTGTGGGGTTTCAGGTTCACAAAAAAAGTGTCAAAAATGACTACAAAAAAAACTCGCCGTCATCCAATGTGCCATTCACACAGAACAAGTTTTTGCATTTAAAATGTGAGATGCAGGGCAGCGGAATGGGCAAAAGCAACGTTTAAAGGGGTCATATGATGTTGCTAAAAAGAACAGTATTTTGTGTATTTGGTGTAATGAAATGTTTATGCAGTTTAAGGTAAAAAAACCCACATAATTTTCCACATACTGTACATTATTGTTTCTCCGCTATTGGTGTAAACAGGCCTTTAGAGACGTGTTTTTGCGAAGTAAATTTTTTTTAACTTGAGGCCTGCCTTTGTACAATGCCGCTGCATGTACGAGATGCTTCAAAGATGCAAGACTCGAGCGCAATGGTAAAATACATCCATCTAGTGCGATGTTTACATAGAAAAACAATTGGAAAAACAGTGCAGTGGAATGCAAAAAAACATATTCTGTGTGAACGGCCCCTTCCTCATGCAATTTAATGGATGTGTTTGGCCAATGCGGAACGGCTCTCGCTGTTTTTTGAGGCTCTTGCACCATGAGGTTTTACAACAGGATGGCGTATCAAATTAAAACAGTTAAATGTTTTAAAATCACCTCAAGGTCTGTACTGATATCTATACTGATCCATTCCATTGTATTCTGCCCAGATGTTTTTGAACACACAACATATCCTATGTGAACATACACAATTATACAGGACATCCTTAATGTTTTAAAGAGTAGGTCATATGTGTTTTCGGAAAATATATATTTTTGCAGTTTGTAACGTAGCTATCCTTCTATGTAAACAATCTGCAAAGTTGTTATTCAAAAAAGTGCATGATAAATAAAGTTATTGTCGCTCAAAATAAAGAGTCGACTCTAAACCACCTTAACGAGTCGTCATATTTTCGAATCTTCTGCCTGTTACCTATATACGTCACAAGGTAAGACATTTGCGGTTACGGTTTACATCATGTCATGAAATTATAATAAATTTCTTATGAATGAATAAGAAATTAATTATAATTATGCATGCAATTATGAATGCAATAAAACTGCTGTCACATCACAGTACCACATACAAATTTAAACTTACCACTGAGAAACGTCCTGATCAAGTCATGCTTGCGATGGAGTTTCCGGTTGAGCGACTGCATCGGTATCATCTTCTGACTCAGGCTCGAATTAGAACAAGGTAATATCGATGCCATTTTTGTAACTTTATAACATCTTTTTTTTTTACAAGTAACCCTCCGGAGCAAAAAAATTTATTATGGTAATGGGAGTTTCGTTTCCGACACGCTTTGCATACGGAAAGATCAATCACAACGGACTTGGCCAGCTGACAAATCAGAGCAGAGTAGGCTTACGGAAGTGAGGGGATTACAGACCGTAAGCTCAGAAATGCTTCGAACAAATCGTTTCGAAATCATTGAAAAATTATTCTAATATTCAATGTATATTCTGAGAAAATGAGATTCAAGTTTTAGTTTTAGATTCAAACCTGTTGTAGGGGACTCCAACACAATATTAAGACACTTTAAAAAACCATATGACCTGCTCTTTTAGAAACCAATTATCCAGCTGATTTAAAAAATATGTAGTTTTGCATCGCCGTAGCTCTGCATTGATCTACAGGGAGCAGAGATTTAAGAATCAGTGAAGGTTATCTCCATGACACATAAACAGCACAAAGACTCATGGGAAAACATAAGTAAGCGTTTGGCGGAGGCATCAGGTTTCAGATCCTCTGCTGCATCTGCCAAACAAGCACAGCGGAGGCTGGCAAGGTGAATTTCTCCAGGAGATTGGGCTGATCTATAATGTATATGTATGTGTGTGGTTGCATGTTTGGAGGGGAATTGGTCTGAAGGTTGATTTGAGAAGGTTCACGATGAGGTATGTAAGGCTGATGTTGCAGCAGAAGCCGCACTTGTATCTTCAAAGGATGAGATCTTGGGTAGTGGTCCAAACCCAGCCTTTTCTAACTGTTATTAATTATTTGTCTTCTAGGAAAGGTGTACGTTCACTGCCGTGAGGGCTACAGCCGTTCACCCACTATAGTCATCGCTTACCTCGTGCTCCGTCACAAGATGGATGTACGAGTTGCCACGGCTACAGTAAGACACAAGAGAGAGATCGGCCCGAATGATGGATTCCTGCGCCAGCTGTGCCAACTCAACGAAAAGCTGGCAAAGGAGGGCAAGTTGAAGACCAAATGATAGAATGTGCTCTACCCCCACATATATTTACACATGCAGACACACAGTCAAACTAGTGTGCACTATTTCCAGTCCAAGTATATTAACAGAATGTATGCAAACAGTACATCCAGAGCATAAGCATGGAGGTATACAAAGTGTATTCAAACACACTTTCACATACTCATTCACACGAGGTGTTGTCAGTGTCCTGAGTAATTACTCCTGCTTCCAGATGGCTGGGAAAAGGAAATTTACTGGCATATCTGAATAATTAAGGCTGTATAAGGAGCAAGGGCAGTATTTTATGTCTGCTTTGTTTTTGCATCATTCCCCATGATAATTAGTTTCCGTTTTTCACTAGGTACACCTAAAGCATTCCAGTAGCCAACTTTTTGTATATCTCACAAATTCAACTTTTGGAGCATATTAGCCCAACTGTCATCTGCAACGATTGTAAAGTAGAGCACAATCATCCTTTGGGTTCCTAATTGCCAGAAATACTGTGATTGCTCATCCCATTTCTATTTGTATGTGGAGGAATATAGTATTTAGGTATAAATATACACCTTTTAACCCATTTACAGACCTACAGACAGATTTTTGATAGCTTTCCAGCATTTTAAATCAGGACTTAACAGGAGGACAAAACTGTTGTGTACCAGCACACACCCCATTCGCTCACCATAAAATAAATTAACATTCCACGTTGTACCGAACGGTAGCATACAATCAACAATTTATATCTACAACAAGCCAACTGTATGTTGTAGCTCGGATTCAACAGACGCTACAAACAGGTTCAACCCGGTTCTATGCAGCAGTGATAATGCATCAGCCCCATTAGATCTCTTTACTCTGGAATCACTGTCTCTCACTGCCAAGTCTCATGCCACATTTTGGCTACCACAAGATCACAGTCAGCCTTGACCAGAGAGACACGTCCGATAGATGGAGAGCCTCTGCCATGCCAACTGCCTAATGATGTGCCCTTACACAAGGTTTTTTATCCAGAGGCCTAGTGCCCATTCACACTGCTAGTTCAGAGACCGCAGGAAGCATGTCAGTGACGTCTGTGGCGTGTAGATCAGATTTTTAAGAGTAGCTGTTGAATTAGATTAGGTCGACTCCGGGCTCAGCTTTGTCCTTAAAACAGAATCACTTTAGCATGGGAACTAACTCATTTTGCTGCACTGCTGGCTTGTTTCAGGTTTTAAAGGGGTCATATCGTACATATTTTTATCATTTAATTATTTCCCCCGAGGTCCACTTATAATGTTAGTCCAATTAAACAGGCTGTTTTTGCTGCTGTGCCTTTAAGACTTCTATGTAAGCATCCTCTTTGCATGTGAAAGGAGTTATATTGATTTGTGATTCACAAAATGGTCTGCATTGAAATGTGCGGTTTAAACCATTCAGATCAGACTGAAATACAGACAGACAGTAGCAGCAGAACTTTCCCACATTTTAGTCTTATCGTTAGTAATTCAGTTTAGGAATAACAGTATCCTTTTTCTGTACAGCTTCTTTGGGACTGGTTTGGCTGCATTGATGTGTATATATGGGTGGTCATATGTTAAAGTATCCATTTTGTTGACGTCAAAAATTTCAGCATTTCAGAATGAGACATTTTTGTAGCTTAGCTTCAGTAAATGGTCTTTTTGGACTGGGGAGGAAGTTTTGAATTCTTAAAGTTAACTCAAAAATGAGATTTCTCATAATATGACCTCTTTAAAGAAGAACCAGCATCATTTCATTTGAAATAAGTGCATGCGGCAGTTTCGAACACGTAGCTTTTTGAATGATTCAAATTTCTCTTGTCAAATTTGATTGATCTAATATTAATAGCTCCTGGGCCTCTGCATATTTATTATTGAGGGAAAATACTATAGTACAAATTGTAGGCTAGAGTATTACACAAAGCACTACTTATGCCTCTTTTTTATATTTCTATATACCAGATATATATACTTGTGTATATACATATTTAGATGTTGACATATATGAATGTATGAACTGTCCATAATATTTGTGTATGACCAGTATCTATTAACAATAGAAATATCTAATATATTGTAGTCAACATCCACGTTATTTTAAAATGCCATGGCACACTTACCCAAAAACACCACTTTTGTTTCATACACCCAGTTGTTTGCTAGAAACTTCAATATTATCTAGTTTTTCTTTTCACTCTGATGGAGAGTAGTTTGCTTTATTATTTTCTCTTTAAAAATCATTTACTTTGTATTAGAGGATCAAAGTCTGTTTTCAAAGGTAACACTGTTGCAGGCTACCTCACAACATTCATATTACTGTAGCTAATCCACAATAATTTTAATTTGTAGCTGTTTTTTTTTTTGTCTAAGAACATTTAAAATGGACAAATACCTATATGTACGAAAGCATTCAAACTATAAACATTCCTTTATTATAATCTGGAGACCTAGGCTTTATACAACCTAACCAACTGTAGCTATGGAAACCTGTGTGGCCTCACAAAAAAAAATGAACCAATGAGGATGCTTTGTGCCAGTGGCAAACAAACACTCCCTTTTCTGATCTGGATCTGTGGAAGGAGAAACACTGCCATCTGCTGTTGATAACCCATGTGATTTGCACAAACTGTCCTGCTATGTATTGCCTTTTATTCATATGTATCGATTGTATGTTACTCAGTGTATAGAAATTGTAAACAATGTAATTATACAGGGAACATTAAATGAAAATGGTTGTACCACTAAATGGCTTCAATAGTATAACAGCGAATCAAAATGCTGCTTGGTCATTTTGTATTTATGTGTGCTATTTTTGTTTTTATTTTAATAACACCGATGTTGAGGAAACACTACCCAAGGCTGAACACAAGCTAAGGTGTCTAAAGTGATGCATTTTTTTTGATGCACTTGTATTTTTGGGCATCAGTGCAAAGTATTGTCTGTGCATTTTTGCTTCAAAGTTTGTTTTGTCCATGCGCATTTGTACAAGCACATAGTTGTTGCATTCATGTGTGCTCGCTCACTTGCTCAAATGCTGCTGACTACACGTAACTCTATATCGTCTATGTGCCGTCTCTTACTCCTGTATGCTTTGTGTTGTTGCTGTAATCTGATATTGAAAATGATTGACCACTTGTTTGTTGTGAAGGACATGGAAACCTCAGCAGTTGCAAATTTGGCAGGAGGGTTTGGCACAAATATTCACACTCTCAAATTATGTTTTGCATTTTGAGTTCGGGAGTTGCTTGATGTGACTAAATGACAGAATTATGATTTCGTTTTAATCTGACTTAATCAGGAAAGGAATTACAGAATGCTTGAAATAGAGGTCAAATGAATGCATTCACATGACACAGGTTGTCTAAACATCCCACCTTAAAGCCTTATCCTGAAGATGGATTATATATTTTTGATTTATGTCTTCACTTCACAAAGCAAGGTGTACCGCTTCTACACTTTGTTGAAGTGCACTTGATTAAATCACAGTTATTTTTCTTACTTTGGACAATGTTCTTTTGTTTTATGATGTCAGACAATAAATGGCAAAAATGAAAACATGCTTTTTTTGTCTTTTATTCAACTAGTTTAGTTAGTTTTAACTGGGAGAATGCATTGTTAAACCCATAAAACTTAAATTACAAATTCATATAAAATAGGGTGAATATAAGGGTGAAAAGTTAGGGTGATACATTTGTGTGTGCTGTATTTTATACACACACACACACACACATATATATATATATATAAATATATACTGTATACACACAGCATACACAATCTTTCAGTTTAATATATTTTAAATGTAACTTATTCTTGTGATGGCAAAGCTGAATTTTCAGCAGTCATTATGCCTTCAGTGTCACATGGTCCTTCAGAAATCATTCTAATATGCTGATTTGATTCTCAAGAAACAATTTGTCAATGTTGAAAACATCGTCCTGCTTAATTTTTGTGGAAACTATGATACTTTTATATTCTTTGATGAATAGAAATGTTAAAAGAACAGAATACATTTATTCTTGCTGCAAATTAATTTATTTCTGAAATTTTTCTGATCCCATGCTTTTGAATATATATATGCTTGTAATATCAAAAAGTATTCTCAACCTTGCTAACATTTTTTTCCTCTCTTCTTTTTTCTTGTATTGTCTCTCCAAACTCCAAAGCCAGAAAAAACAACTATTATTGCATTTCATTGTCTCATATTACTCATATTGCTCAATGCAATAATAAATTACTTTTTGCATTTCTTCCTAGAGCATGAGAGGGACTCGTTTCTCATGTACAAGGGTAGTTTGCATGACAATACCCTATTAGTTCTCCATGTGTGTTGCAAGCAATCCATGTCTGTGGGCCTCTGTGGTCTTTGATTACAACAGAATGGGGCACTTGAAAAAGTGCTCACAACAGCCCCTAATTACTCCTGTTAGGTAACAGATAAGTAGGGCAACGTTCAGCTGTGTACAGACATTACTGCAACATTTGACTTGCCTCAGCAAATCCACAAAGACTGAGCAAATTAATGACTTCACTACATCCGCAACTAGATTTAATGTGCATGGCATCATGTTTTACTGTATGTTATATACCGTATTTGAAGAGATCATTATAAAATATGAGTACAGGGTTAAGGTTTTGGGTCAGCATGTGTGAGTATTTATGTATTTATGGAAGTACTGTATGTACATTATTTATGCACTATGTTTATTCATAAATTAGAAACATATCTTAAAAATGCTTTATGGTAAGCGTTTATAGTCTGTCTCCAACAGATGGAGACAAATGCATCCATAAATCTGTCTCCCTCTTGGGTCCAGTGTCCTTGTACCATGACCCACACACTAACATAATACTTTCTTTTGACACATATACATACTCATATCCAGCACTCTGTCATAGAATCACAAAGGACAATTTCAAATGCAAATGGTCTTTAAGGTCCTTTAGCATTTGTTCGGCACACCTGGCACTGGGGATGACCAGCTCAGACTTCATGTATCCACAAGGATCATTGAAAACACTCAAATCAATTGGTCAGACACTAGGGCCGCTCTCTTTCCATGACCCTGTGCACACTGCAATTACCCGAGCCCAGCTGTGGGGTCCTTTGAGAGTGCTGTCCAGGGGCTCCTCCCTGTCGCACTCACAAACCACGCAGGACCACAGAACCAGACCCAAAGGAGAAACGCAGCGGCTAAGACAGAGCAGGCTGGGATGTTCACTCCCTTTGCTTATACACTGTCTACAGTTTACAATTTAATCAATAAATATATCTAAAATTAAAATAAATATAATATTTTAATTTGAATAAAATGTATTATTTAAACAAATTATATATATATATATATATATATATATATATACATACCTGTATATATATATATATATATATATATATATATATCTGTATATATATATATACATATATATATATATGAGAAAATGTAATATTTAAACATACTAAAATGAAATTATAATAAAATAAATAGATATTTTTATAATTGTAATTTATTTAAATGTTACATATATATTCAATTTTACATAACATTTTTTATATTTAAATAAATTGTATATTAAATCAAATTTAAATTTAAATAAAATGAATCAATAATTTTTTAAAACTTTATGTAATGCATTTATATTCTTTTAATATAGGCCTACACAAATGTTCATTCTTGAAACAAATGAATTTAGATGATGTGAGGAGGAATAAAAGATAACCGAATTAGAATTGTTGGATGAACAAATTCGTGAAGGGTATGCATAATATGTCTGTGTAAATACATTGTTATAATTGTGTTTAAAGTTTTTTCAAACATTTCCTGACAGATTTTGTAATCATGAAGCCATTTAAGAATGTTTCTTGGTTGGGCTTGGCCAAATTCTGGATAGATAATTTGGCAGTCAATTTTAGTAAAATCTTTTAATAATCTTTTAATTTGATCTTTTCAAAAATCAAAATCAATTATTAATGGCATTATGAAAATCACTATTAATATAATTCTTGTGGATGATATCCCCCTGTTCTTTGTCGTCTTCCTTAATGACTGGCTTAAATGAAAAGCATATGATGTTTCCCCTTTTTAACTTTTTTGTCCCATTTCGCTGCGTGCTCCCATAATGAAAACGTAAGAAAAAAAGAACATCTGTGGAGCAACACTAATTATTGGGAAATATGGGAGAGAACATTCTTGGAATGGATGGGCTTCAGATCCTCTTCCAAGCACTTGTGCCCGCAGTGGTGTTGCCCGTTTCATCTTCCTGC